TTTTTATCTTCTTCTGTGACCCTGATTTTCACAATTGCTAAATATCAGGGCTATGTTGAAGTAGAGGCAACATTCATAGTCTTTTGGCCACAATGTCTGTATTCCTGAATTCTTTGTTCTAATTTCTCCTTTACGTGCTGTCAAACATTAATATGCAAGTGAGCCATCTGGGGAGCTTGTTAAAATGCAGATGAAAATTCAGTAGGTTTGCAATGGGGCCTGATATTCTGTCTTTGTTTCTAGGTGATGTTGATAAACCACAGTTTTTTGTCCTGAGAACTGATTTTCCAAGGAGCTCTGTTCTTTGAGTTTTTTATGGAGACTCACTGTGTGTTGCCTTTAGAACAAGCTAAGTCCTTGGCTGGGATTATTCCTGAATTTCATGTGTATAGGTATTTCTCCATTTTTTTTCTAGCATTAAATTTGATTTTGGAGAAATCTGAGACCAGCCAAAACTTCATTCTTTGTAGATATTTATTTTAGTCTCCTTTAAGACTTGAAAAAATAAGTTAAAAAAAAAACTTTCATGTTGAATACTGTAGACAAAATATACCTCATATAGATCATTGGGTATCACGTGAATTTCTAAAATGTTGTGTCCCTTAATTGTACAGTTTTGTTTTTGTTTTTTCTATTTCAGAAAATTTTTCTTGTATTATATCTTTGAAAACTTTTATTTTTCCTATTCCATTTTTTGAGTTCTTTCCTAGAAAGACAATCATTCTCTTTTTTAAACCATTTTTGTCTCCCACAAATAATATCTTCTCTCTGACTGCTTGGATATTTTGGAGATTTGATCCACATCCACCCAGTTCATAACAAGCCTTTATTTTAGATTGAGTCTAGGTGAGACACGTCCTTTGGTAGTATCATTTCAGTATCACTGTGTTCTACATTCCTTCCCTTGCATGTGCTAGCTCTCATTTATATTTTTATTTGTCACTTCCTCTTGTTTTTGAGATACTATTATTATTATTATTTAAATTTGTTCTAGTCAAGTTGATATAATACTTGAACATTTCTGTAAATCCCTATTTACTGTTTTTTTTAGCCATTGTTTCAGGTTGAGTCCATTCTCCACCCTACCCTGAACCATTTATATTTATTTGTCTCTTATTCCTCTTCACCTGCCTTTATTTTGCAATTTTTAAAATTCATCTCCCTCATATTTGGACAGATCAACCCAGGTCTTGTTGCTCTTGTAGCATGCACATGATTTCTTAATTCCTTTCCAACCAGGAAGGAGACTGTGTGCAGAACCACAGGGTGAGGGCTGAGTATTGAGGATGATGTCTGCTTTTACTCCTGCCTGAGGTTGTGGCCTGGGATTGGGTGGTGGGAGGGGGCTCACCTGAAGAAGATTACTTTCTTTGTTGTCATTGTGCTCTGAATAGACTCCCAGGTTCTGTTAGACATCCCGGGCTCACTCTTTCATGACCCAGGATACGTACGTACTATTTCCATGTGAAGACACGTTCAGCTTTTATGCTTACCTTTTAATTCATGTCCCTCATAAATAGTGATAGGTTTTTTTTTTTTTTTTTGCTTCTTTTCTTTCACTCATTTCCTCCCAAAAAGTCTTACTACATTTTCCTCATCAAAAGAGGGAAAGGTCTCAAGGATGTCAACTCAGTTTGCTCTTCCCCTAGGATTAGTGAGAACTGCCCATCACACAGCTTCTAGGTTGTTGTGGGAGCAAGAGTCTGACCATACCAGCATGCTCTAGTTAAGGAAACCACTGTTTTTGGTATTTACAGCACTGGATTGTGGTTTTACATTGCTGAGATGCTTGGAGGCAAACACTTTTGCTCTTGATTACATTTTGTCTTTTCATCAAAGTGGATGGTTATGTCCAAATGTTACAATGCACTGTTTTAAAATGAAAGGTCCCCATGGATATGTCGTCAGGGTATTATTTGCTTGACATTCTGTATTCTTCCCACTGGATGTCCACAAAAGATACACTAAATCAAACATCTGTAGCCTTGTTTTTGCACATAGTTCCCTTCCTGGCTGACAGCAGATACTCACTAACGTTTTCTGAATTAATGAGATGAGTGGGGAGAAGGAGGGAGGTCTACTGAACAGCTGTTATGAGCCGGAAGTATCTTACTTCATTTACTTTTTGCAAGAACCAATGATAAGTTGGTGCTCCTATTTCTGTCTTTTAGATAAGGGTACTGATGGGCACACAGAGTTTGTGGCTTGGTCATTGTAAACAGTCACAGCAGAGCCAGGTGTCATAGGCAGGTTGGTGTGAAGCTAGTCTCCTTCCACTGGGACACAGTCCCAGCCACATGGGAAAAGTGGACACAGCTAGAAGGACCACCTTGTCCATATGTTGTGTTTTGATTAGTGGAGGGGTTGGATACAACCCACAGATGTTTTGTATGTCCTATACTTAAGAAAATACATAAATGTCCATTATAAGATATTTGCATGTAAATCTGGGTTGCATCATGATTTGAGAAATCAGAAGCTCTAGCTGCTCAAGGACTGTACCCTTCACTGGGACATCTGACAATGACTGGATAGCAGTCATCCTTTTTAGATGACACATGCACTCTATGAGGCACTGTGGCCCTCTTCCTCCCCCTACCTCCCTTCACATGCCTCACTGCTGTAGGCATATGGGTTTGCAACCCTGACCCAGATGAAACTTGTCATAGATCCTCTGCCCTTGCAGACTGCACACAATGTAGGTACATCATGGTTAGTCAGAGAAATCTCCCAAGTCCTCAGAGGGCCCTAGTCCTGCCCAAAGCATGGTCACAGGAGGCCTCCCTGACACACAGCATTGTCCCTAAGGAATCCTTAGGCTCTACTGTGGAGTCTGGAAGTGTCACTTTATTCAGCTAAGAGTTACCGCCTCATCAGCAAGCTCTGTAAAGACGGTGATCTTAGAGGTGGTTTGCAAATCCTGCAGGAGCAGCTCAGAGTTGGGCTCTGGTCCCGAGGGATGACTCAAAGAGAGATCATCTTGTGTGTAGTAGGATTGTTTTCTCCCCAGAGAGAGAGAGAGAATTAATGAGAGTCAGGAGAGGTCTGTCCTCAGGGTCCAGTGGGAGCCCCTCCTGAGGAAGGGGCTGTCAGGATGCCTCCTCTGAGGGACGTGTTCCAGAAGAGCAATGATAGGAATCATCACCCAGATTAACACCCCAGGGAAAACAAGCCTCCTCTTCCATCTCTCCGCTCAGCCACGGGCTCTGTTAGCTGTGATCTGACTATCTTGCCAAGGGCAACCCTGCAACCCTGGAATTTGCAGGTGAGGGTTCTCAAGTTCTGGCATACCAGGAATTTCTCTCTTCAGCCTGTGAATTATGGAGATTCCTTGGCTCCACCCTGATGCCATTGGGTAAGTATCAGATAGAGTCTGGGAATTAGCATGTTTCGTAAAATCAGATGTTTAATATGGATGGGCCAGAGTGTGAGGGGGAAAAAAATCAATGTAGAAATTTCCAGAAAAGTCAAGCCTGTAAAGACACAAAGCAAGTCAGTGGTTGTCTGAGGCTGGGAGTAGGCTCAGGGGTTGACTTCAGGTGGGTAGTAGGAACTTTATGGGGTGAGGAACAGGTTCTAACACTGGATTGTGTAATGGTTGCATGTTTGTATACATTAACTACAAGTCACCAAACTGGCACGTAGGAAGGGTAAATCTTCTGGTGTATAAATTAAACCTCCATGAAGCTGTTAAATACACACACACACACACACACACACACGCCCACACCCCTACACCCTGAAGTAACAATAATATAATGATGTAATGAGGGGCACCTGGGTGGCACAGTCGGTTGAGTGTCTCTCAGTTTCAGCTAAGGTCATGGTCTCAGGGTTGTGAGATCAAGCCCCACATTGGGCTCCACGCTTGGCACGGAGTCCATTTAGGATTCTCTCTTCCTCTCCCCCAGCCCTCCCCCCACCCCAAGACAAATACATAAATCCTTAAAAGATAAGATAATGATGCAACCATGGAGCGACATGGAGAAATAATGAACGATGGTGATAATGATCATGAATATAGGGGTGATAGGGAACAATTACTGAGCAGTATCTATGGACCAGATGGTGAGCCAAGTTCTTGTCATCATTTCCTACTCCTACCCCATGAGATATGTCCCATCACCACCTTCAGTCTTGCAGATGGGAAGCTGAGGCTTGAGACCTTAGTGGTTTTTCCACTATACACAGCGTTGTAGAGAAGACCTGAGGTGTGAACACAAGTGATCTGATGCCAGGGAGGTAGTCCCTCACTACTTTGTTAATTACCAATTGGTCTGTCATGAGGCTCAGAGTCCCATGTAAGTAGGTCTGAGCTCTGACTTTATAACCTGCAACCAGCTGAACTTGAGCACCGGCCTTCATCTCTACCCACTCAACTATGCAGATGTGCAGACTGGCGATGATAGTGCCCCTCTCATAGGTTTTTTGGAAGAAAGAAATGAAGTAGGTCACAGAAAGCCTGGTGTGTATACAAAGCTTTCTAACATTGTGAAGTTAGAATATGTTGATCCCTTGGCATAGATGTTGGTGCATCACACGAGCTTAATAAATACAAGCTAATATAGAACTCTAAACATTGCAATTGTTTGCTTATCCAACAAGCACCTGAGCATCCATAGCTGCCAAGCCCTAGGAGAGTCACTGAATCAGACCAGGTAAACAATAGGTCACAACCCTGCTTTCCAAGACCCAAGACATCCACTTATGACCGGAACGGGATGTTTGAGTACTTCACGAGGTATAGGTGATGATTCAGCTGCCCCCCTCAATGATGGCACACAAACAGAGGTCACTGTTGCAGAGACAGGCAAATCTTCACAGAGGCACAGACTATTGTGCTCAGCCTTCAAGAATGAATGTCTTTGTAGTCAATGTCTTTTTATGTTTGCAGCATCTGTTCAAACCACAGGCAGCACCAAAGAAAATTTTCTTCCAGATTTATAGATCTGTAGAAATCCCAGTTTTCCTTACTCTGTAAGGCTGTCTTATTTGTTCAGGGATCTTGGCGTTCCCCTCACCTCATCTCTTTCTTCATACGAATCCCGATGGCTTCATTCTCGGAGCGGAACTCTCCAAGTGGAAACGGAGCACTGACTTCTGGGGGGTGGCTGGTATCATTTACACCCTCCGTGCTGACTCCCCAAAGCTGTCATGCAAAATATGGCTTCTTGGGGACCCTGGGATCCAGCATTGTGACTCTGCATGGGACATCTTCTACATATCCCCTGTTGTGATAAAGCAACCATTCGTGAAGAGCTGTTCTCCTACCTGGAGGGTGAGTTCACTCCTAGGAAAACTCAGAAAAGTCAGGTGTTTCTAAATGGCTGTGATTTGGGTGTGTGGAGATTCTTTAATTCCCTCCCCCTTGATTTATGGTTTTTTTTTTGTTTTTTTTTTTAATTTTTATTTACTTATGTATGATAGACACAGAGAGAAAGAGGCAGAGACACAGGCAGAGGGAGAAGCAGGCTCCATGCACCGGGAGCCCGATGTGGGACTCGATCCCGGGTCTCCAGGATCGCGCCCTGGGCCAAAGGCAGGCGCTAAACCGCTGCGCCACCCAGGGATCCCGATTTATGGTTTTATTTATTTATTTTTTGATTTATGGTTTTAAACTCCCAGAAACATATGGCTTCTGGCTAAACCAGAGTTACATGTCTTCTTTCCCTGAATTTCTCAATTCAGGGGAAAAAAAATCAGCCAAAGGTAAGGTCGAAGTTGCAAGCTTCATTAGGGTAGCAAGAGATGAAATTTCTCAGGAGCTGCCTTCCTTTCATTTTAAATTGCAAAACATAAGGCAGCAACTTCAAAACCAGTTCTTCTAATTCTTAATATTGGCTCTCCACCATCCTCAATCTGATTGAAAATAGATTGGGGGGCACTGAAGGCCAATACCTAGAATATTTTAATTCTCCAAGGCATTGATTTTAGGAAGGGAAGAGAAGGAAATTTGGTGGCCATTAGCAAAAGTCCTCAGGATCTAATACAGATGGACTTCCTTCAAGTGCCTCTGTCTCTAATTTTGTTAGATGAGAAGGGGACTCAGTGTTTTACACAGGCATGTGCAGTAATTTATAAAACATGTACATAAATTACCTGATGCCTCATTCCACTGATACTCTTCCAATTGCCTTAATAGACCATAAAAATTGTAATCCCATGGTGAACCGTTAAATGTTCAGCTATTTAGCTCAGCAAGTTATACAATTTGTAACCAAGTAAATCTAATTTTGAAATAGGTGGGAGAAGGGAAGCCACTCCAGGGAGTCCTGCTTGCTGGCTTTCCTGGAGGGAGCATCACCGATGATGGGCCCCCTAGACTCTGAGTACCTGCTAATGAAACCAGATTCTTTCAACAGCTAATGAGTTCGGCTCTTTTAATATAACTTAAGATATGAGCGCTTTTTTGTTTTTCCTTTCTTTTGTGAGATTGTTTGGAACATCCAAGGGATTTGAGTTCTCCCATGTATTCGACAATTCATGCCGATAAGTTGCCTGCCCAATCATTTAAGAATTATTTGAATTGCTTCTGGCAACCCCTCCCTCTGGGATACCAGCTACACCTCGAATGATGTACAAAGCCTAGGTTGACACTAGAAAGGGTGAAGTGTGGGTCTCTGCCTATTAAATATTTTGCGTCCAAAATGAAAAAAAAAACCAACTGTATAAACTATAAATAATTAACAGAAAAGCAGGTGGAAGTAAGTTTGGCAGGGAAGGTGGGACAAGGTCCTAAGTCTGTCTTGCAAAGAGCTTAGACTTTATTTACTGAGTGGTGGTGGGGGGCTGAGGTCTGCTGAAGGAAAGGGGAAGGAAGATCAAGCTGGTGGCACCATGTGGAGAAGGAAGTCTTGGAGTACTTGCCAAGAATCACTTTCAGAAACGTGAGGCTGAGATGATGGGGGTTTCAGTTGGATGGTGTCAAGCAGAATGAAAGGAAAGAAGCAGGTACAAGCACTATGAAATTAAGGTAGGCAGCATTCTAAAGTGGCTCTTAAATTCCAACCCCAGTGTCCTACTCTCTTGTATAATCCCCTCACCTTGAGTGTGGGTGAAATTTGTGAATATAAGGAAATATCCACCCCATAACTAGGTAATTAATCTGTTGACTTGAGGGAATAACAAAGGAGACTGACTAGGTGGGCCTGGTCTAATCAGGTGAGAACTTCAAAGAAGATGTAGCATCAGACATTCCCTCTGCAGGTCTTGAGGACGAGAGCAAACAGCTCTGTTGTGAGTTGTTGGATTCTCCTAGGTCCTACATACAAAGAACTGAATTCTTCCAACAGCCAGTGAATTTCGAAGAGGCGGCTAACACTCAGATGTGATTCTGGCCTTGCCAACACTTGATTTCAGCTTTGTGAGATCCTGACTAGGGGACTAGCCACACTGTACCTAGACGTTGGACCTTCTGAACTATGAAATAAACAGGGAGACTTGTTTTAGTGGCCAACTTTGTGGACAATCTATTATGCAGCATTAGAAAACTAATACAAATTCCAAATCACTAGCCTCCAAGACTCATAAAATCTTACTTTAAACAATGCATTTTTATTTCAGATATATACAATGAATCAATCAAATAATCTGTTGATAAAGTGCTCCCAAGCTGGGGGTCTTTCACGTTTACTGAACGTAGATCATGTTTCCATAGTCACTGTAATCAATATTGCCGTAACCACGATCCTACTCAAGTACTTTTGTCAATGCCCATTTAGATCAAGGAGGTCTCCTTTATTTCCCTACCTATTCACAATTGTGTATCTCTGAAACCCGGGAAGATTTTATTCCACGTGTAAGACTTAGATAAACATATGTCTTGAAACAGCAGAGGAGGGATTTACCAGGGAATGCTGACTCACCAGCTCTCTGGCTTCCCATCAGGTGGAATTTGCTTTGGTGAAAGATGGTCTGGCCACCATCCAGAGAGGGATTCTCCACCCTGAAAGTTCAGAAAATCTTCATTGTTAGAGTTCTAGAAGGTTTGATACAGGGTCAGACCTGGCAGGCTGGGTTCAGGCTGTATTTCAGATCCTGGTTCTAACCCTGAACCTCAATTTCCAGATTTTTTTAAATGCTGAAAAGATGCCTATCTTAAAATGGCTTTGGAGAGATAAAATGATTAATGAGGTGATTCCACATGAGTCACTTGGAGTAATGCTGAACATTGGAAAACGCTCATTTATAGATGAGTTAGGATAGTGATGATGATAACTTATCGAAAGAGCATGCACATAGTGGGGTTCTCTGAGTGAGTGAGTGAGTGAGTAAATGAATGAATATATGAAGAGTCTTGGTGATAACATCTGAGGCCAGTTTATGAATTAAACAGGAGGACTCGGAACTGCCAAGAATCTGGGGTAATTATCTTGGCCTGACTAAGGAAGCTATAGGGGGTGCCAAATTATTTCCAAAGGCTGATGGGAGAACATGAGATTCTGGACGAGGGCAAGGGGAGTTTTGTTTTGTTTTGTTTTGTTTTAATGCAGGAATTGGCTGCTTCCTACCACCAGTCTGTGATCTCCAGATACATCTATCAACACATTCGGCTTAAATGAGCCCAGATGTCCAGCTCCTTAGGTTGACTTGCTAGCATCCAGTCTCCTTGGCACAGGGCCTGGCTAGATGCTAATGCCTGAGTCGGTAACTCCCCCTTCCTTAACCAGCACCAACCCCTTTGGAACAACTTAGACTTTATCCTAACATGTTTATTCAAGCCCAGCCTTGCTGCGCTCACTACCATTCTGTTTCATCAGACCAGTGTTGCATCCCATGCTCCAGTTTTTCATGTATTGATGCCATATTTTAAACCCCAGAGGGTGACCTTATTTTCTGTCCCTTCAGGGAGGGGGCCACTCAAGCTTGCCATTCTATCCCATCTGCAGAATAAATCATACAAACTGAATAGACCTAGTGAGATTATAAAGCCAAAGCCAAAATGTATTTTGCCCAAAGTCATTCTAGACCAAAGACAATTCACAGACAGTGAAATGAATATTTTTCCTTTACTTTTATGATCTGAAAGATTTATGGACCATGACTTTAAAAGCCTATTTAAGTTGTGTAGAAGAATGCCCTGATTTTTTAGATATATGCTGAAGAATTCAGAAATGAAGTGTCATGATGTCTGCAACTTACTTTCAACTGGGTCAGCAAAAAGCACATATGCATATACATATATGGAGATAGGTAGACATCAGGCAAATTTAAGTGGTATGTGTATTAGACATTCAGACAATTACACATTGTACTAGTCTTGCAACACTTCTCTATGTTTGAAAATAATATATTGTTGGAAGGAAATTCTAGCTGTGTTTTAATTCCATTTTGTGCATCCAAAGGAGTATTTGTTCTTTTCTTCTGTTATGTTGACTTTAACCATTTTGATGTATGGAAACTTTCACTAGAATTGCCTTCCACCATGCACTTATATTTTTGTTTAATTCTTTTATCCTCATAACCATTTTGTCCAACCTTCTTCTTAGAGCATAGATTTACTTTCTGCTTTTAGTGTAATTTGACATTTAATAAGAGTAGGCTTCCTTTGGCTGTGTCTTTTCACCGATGTCTTAATAAATCAAACTATCTCTAGCCTCTGTGATTAAGCCTACCCAACGCTCCATTTCCCATTAGGATGGGAATGTCTGTAACTCTCCCCCTGCCAGGCTGCCACAGAATAACATTGCATTGTGATTGTGACCTAGAAGTTGCATGGAATTAGATCAAACTCAATTTGGCCCTCTTTGATTTGGGCCTCCTAACATAATTTTCTAGTGTTTGACCCAATAAAGATCATGAAGTGGAGAATTTGAGAAAACCTGATTACTGAAGGGTTTTTTGTTGATGTTGTTTGACTTGGTTTGTTTTTACTTAATAGAAATCAAAAGGACTAGTAGAAGACGTTTAAAGAAATGACACTGCATGGGGGGACATTACCATGGGACAAGACACATCAGAATCAACCGACCAGAAAGGCACCTTGGTGCTACTCCTCGGAGAGGACACAGCTGAACAGGAAGGACACTGATCTCGCAGAGAGAAACAGAAAGAGGATAATTGCCGTGTTAGTAACCTACTTCTCAGATGAGTTACTTCTCTGAGCATATCCGCATTAATGGATGATGGTGGCTTTGGATCCCCTAGAGGTAGCGAGGTCTTATCATCAGAGAAAACATTGACCGAAAGAAGTTCCACTGAAGATTTGCCGACTCACTTAATCCTCATAACAGTGCTTTAAGGTTAATAGAATTAGCCTCAAGTTTCACATGCAGAAACCGAGGCTCAGAGATTTGAGTAATTTGCTGAATAAAGCTGGTTAGTGACACGGATGGATCATCACATGGGTCTTTTGGACTCGAAATCTCATACTCCATGCTGTCTTTCCTCTCTTCCCTAACACTCTCTTCATACACACTCTGTTTTGGCACGCACCTGTTGATGGACACTTGGTTGTTTCTACATGTGTGTATTATGAATCATGCTGCTATGAACATTCATGGCCAAGTTTGTATGTGACCATACATTCTCAGTTCTCTTGGGTATGGATGTGGGAGTGGAATTACTGGGTCAATTGGTCACTTTACATTTAACTTTTTGACATGCTGCCAAACTGATTCCCAGAGCAGCTTCACTATTTTATTTTCCCACCAGCAGTGGACAAGGGCTCCGATTTCTTCACATTCTTGCCAGCAGTGGTAATCGCGTCTTCTGATCATAATCATCTGGTGGGTGTGCAATAGTATTTCATTGTGAGTTTAACTTGCATTTCCTTAATGACAAATGATGCTGAGTGTATTTTCCTGTGTTTGCTGGTCATTCGTAGATCTTCTGTGGAGAAATGTGTATTCAAGTCTTTTGTCAACTTTTAATCAGGTTACTTTTTATTGTTGAGTTTTAAGAGTTCTTTATAGAGTCTGACTACTCTTACCAGATCTATGATTTGCAAATATTTTTCCCCATCCTGTGGCTTTGTTTTTACTTTCTCAACAGTGTCCTTTGACACACAAAAAAATGTTTAATTTTGATGAAGTTCAATGCATTTATTTCATCTATTTTTCATGAAGATAGACACCTATGTTTTAAGAGTTTTATTGTTTTAACTCTTACATTTAGGTCTTTGATCCATTTTGAGTTAATTTTTTATATGGTGTCAGATAGGGGTCCATGTTCATTCTTCTGCATGTGGACATCAGTTGTCCCAGTGCCATTTGTTGAAGAGACTGTTCTTTTCCCAATGAATAGTCTTGATATCCTTGTCAAATATTTCCAAAATTTGCTTTTTTTCTAAGATTTATTTATTCATAACAGACAGAGAGAGAGAGAGAGAGGCAGAGACACAGGCAGAGGGAGAAGCAGGCTCCATGCAGGGAGCCCTGATACTCCAGGATCAGGCCTTGAGCCAAAGACAGACACATTCAACTGCTGAGCCACCCAGGTGTCCCCCAAATTTGTTTTTATACCTTCTTCCAGTTCCCTTTTTTTAGTAGGAGATTTATATACAGCAGATATGGTTTGGATATAAAAATAAGCAAGCAAATATAAATATGTATATAAACATACACACACATACGTATATATCATATACAGTTGACCTCGAACAATGCAGGTTTAGGGGCACTGACCTCTTCCCTCCCATGTAGTAGAAAATCCACACCTAAATTTTGACTACCCAAAACCTTGACTACTAATAGTCTACTGTTGATCAGAGACCTTACCAATAGCACAGTTGACTAACACATATTTTGTATAGTGTACGTCTTATATACTATATTATTACAAAAGTAGTAAAAGTAAGCTAGAGAAAAGAAAGGAAAATGTTATTAAGAAAATCACAAGAAAGGGAAAATACATGTGTAGCACTGAACTGTATTTATTGAAAAAAATTTGCCTATAAGTGGACTCATGCATTTCAAACATGTGTTGTTCAACACATATAGTGTCTATACATATAATTTCAAAAATTATTTAACAGAGAGAGGGGGGCACAAGCAGGGGGAGCAGCAGAGGGAGAGGGAGAAGGAGGCTCCCCACTGAGCAGGGAGCCTGATGTGGGGGCTCGATCCCAGGACCCCAGGATCACGACATGAGCCAAAGGCAGATGCTTAACCAACTGAGACCCCAGGCACCCCATAATATATATATTTTTTAAAGATCAGAAGCTTTGGGATTTACATATATTTTTTAAAAAGATGAAACTCCACCTGACAACTGTATGATTTGAGATTTTCAGAGCTAAAGATGGGTAAAATGGTGTAAGCCAGAGTATATTCAATATGGAAGTTATTAAATTAATTCTGCACTGTAATTGCTCATCTTCTAATGGTACTCATTCCTACCTGCCCTTTTATAGCAATTGAGACCCTACTATTAGTATAAAAATTTGTTGAAGAAGAACATCATTTGGCTCAGCAGAAATGCCAACTTTGGGAATGGAGAAAAAAAAATCCAACAATGAAAAGCAGACTGGGAGAAGGTGCAGGAAAGGACACCCTGGCCCTCTGGGTCTGTTTGGCGAGTAGATGCCACTAGCCTCTTGTTAGCATGTCAGAATTGGGGAAAAGTGTAAGAGAATCTCTTCTCTCATAGTGTTCACTGGAGGGGAGGGGCTCTGAGATGTACCACAGAATGAAAGAAGATGGAAGTTAGAGTCACGCAGACTTAACTTTGAATTCCCTGGTTTTGCCATTTTACTTATCTCTGTGACCTTGGGCAAGTAGAATTTACTTCTCTGAGCTGTTTTTATCTTCTAGTAAAATGACATGGTGATACTTTCATGGCACATCTGTGAGGACCGTGAACAAAATGTGTTTAACATCTAGCTTCGTATCCACACTGAGGAAGCATTTAATGCAAAGAAAGGTTTTGTTATTATTTATAATTATTAATTCCCACTAGACCTTGGGCTTGGGAAATTCTATTCAGCTTAGAGAGATCAAGCACAAACATCATTTACACACAAAAAGTCTTATGTGGCACTCACCCTCAAGCCTACATACACATGAGCCTGTGCTCCATATTTCTGAATCTCCCACCCCATATTCTCAGAAAATCAAGTTCTTTTCTTTTTTTTCTTTTTCTTTCTTTCTTTCTTTCTTTCTTTCTTTCTTTCTTTCTTTCTTTCTTTCTTTCTTCTTTTTTTTTTAGAGGCAGAGACACAGGCAAAGGGAGAAGCTGACTCCATGCAGGGAGCCCAACACGGGACTCGATCCTGAGTCCCCAGGATCACACCCCAGGCTGCAGGCGGTGCTAAACCCCTGAGCCTCCCAGGCTGCCCTCAAGTACTTTTCTTATTATGTGTCAATATGAATTATGGGTCAATTATGTGTCAATCACACATGTACACTCTCTCCTTCAATGTTTAGTTTATTTATTCTCTTTTTTTATTGAAATATAAATTACATATAATGAAAGTCACCTATTTTGGTGTAATTCTATGAGTTTTGACAAATATAATAAAGATAAATATAATAAAATTACCACCACCAAAATCAAGATACAGAACATATTCATCACTCCCAAAATTCCTTCACAGGCATTTGTAGTCAACCCTGCTCCCCACCGCCAACCACTACACTGTATTCTGTCTACATGGTTAGCTTTTTCAAAATGTCATCAAAAATGGAATCGCACAGAAAATTTAAATATGATTTATTTCACTGAACAATGCATTTGTGATTCATTCATGTGGTTGTATGTGTGTATATATATCCATAGTTTATTGATTTTTATGGCTGAGTAGTATTCCATTGAATGGATGTACTGCCATTTGTTATACATTTGCCCATCAAAAGATGTTTGGATTCTTTCCAGATTTGTGTGATTACAAACAAAACCACTGTAAACATTCATAGGCAGATTTTAGTGAGACTATAACTTTTCATTTCACTTGGGGAAATGTGTAGGAGCAGGATTTCTGAGTCTAGCTGCAGTACTTTCTTAAAAAACAAAGAATGTCTAAGGCAAATGTTGGTTTGAGAAATGTGAATAGTAAGAACATAGGTATTCTTTATAACATTTTGTATACTTTTTTATGCTTAAAACATTTTTAAAAAATAAAACAGTCTTTAATAAAAGTTATGCAATAGAAGTCAACTCAACAACGCAGATGATTCTGGTAATTATATCAAGGTATGGAACCTCGGCTTTGTCACAGTGATAAAATCCTTTTGTACCTGAAGACACTAATAATTTTAACCAGTCCACTGAAGCTTCTTAATGATTCTATAAATAGAAACAAATCAACCTTATCTAGAGCTGACCAGGTGGCTGCTTGGGACGGGGCAAATCTCTCTAATGGTTCCACATTCCAACAACAAATGCATTCCACATAGATGCTCACGACTCCCTTCCTCTTCCACTTTCTTTCCTTCTTTGTTTTTCCCCACTTCCCCTCTGCCTCCACCTAACCACGGTGCCACCTTCAGTCACTTACTGCTCTTCCTTCACATCTGTTTTTTTGAAAGGAGCTTTCCACAGAGGGCAGAGCATTTGCAAGGCGTTAACCTCTCTTATGGATATAAATCATGATTGTATCCTACATGCCTCTTCCCCACACATGGGGTGAGGAGGGGATCACAAGAAAGGACCAAGGAGACAGGAAACCTGTGGTGCTAAGCCACAACAAAGAGGTGAAGGGTCACCGGATCATATCCTACCCCACAATCAGCGGGCAGCAAGGAGTTGGGTGGCCCCCGCCAGCCACCTGGAAGGTGATAATGGGGACATGTCCAGGCAGAAAATGCTTTTTGTAAAGTGCCTTTGGATTATGTTTCAGAAAATGGTATTAGCTGTAGTGGTGATAAATGGTTTTTTAAGCCTACAAAACATTCATCAGCTTAGCACTCAGGCCCTTCAGGTAATGCAAAGAGCGAACATTGACTGGAAACATGAAATATGGGCCAGTGCACCATCCACTAACTAAAATGTTTCATCTGGTAATCACTCTGGAGCAAGATTTATTTTTGGTTTCACAAACATCTTTTTAATTTAAATTAGATTTAAGGTATCCCCTCCCTTCGTCCTCTGTCCTCTTAGAATTTCACATTTGCTGGCTATTTTTTTTTATTAATCCTCTCATAATCATCTTCCGTTCAAGTGGTTCCATAGAGAAAACTGTATGCGGGGCTGACCAGTATTATGAACTCCACTGGAAGTTTGGGATGATGGTATGTTTTGTGGGAAGTGAGCTGAGAGTTCGTTCAGTAGAGGAGTTATGAAGAAGTCAGATGTATATTCTGAGTGTCATGCTTCTGGACATTGCTGCAGGACCCCTGGATGTGAGTTACAAAGCTTGGGAATGCCTTGCCATTCCCTTGTCTGTGGAGCCATTTTTCAATTCTCTCCATCCCACCCAGATGGAAAGATATACCCCCCTGCTCCACCCACGCAGGACTCTCCAGTTGGTTCCACAGAGGCGTCCATCACGGCATCCCTTGACCCTCTTCCCACGTGCTCATCACCAGCAATGCCCCTGTGCCCTTGATACCAGGAGGCTGATCTCACTTAGGACTGAGCTCCCCCCTGCCTTTGCTGGGGTCTGGCACCAGCAGACACTCACTAAATGCTCAGTGAGAGAACCCAGTCATTCTAACATGTGCCATGGGCCTACATCCTGAGAGAGCGAGGAAGACAGGTGGCCAGAAAGAGGAAAAGAAAGACAAAGGAAATTTTGTCCCATGATGAATCTAATGGACCGCCCCTTTTATTTATTTATTTATTTATTTATTTATTTATTTATTTATTTATTTATGAGAGACAGAGAGAGAGAGAGAGAGAGAGAGAGAGAGAGAGAAGCAAGCTCCACGCAGGGAGCCCAACGTGGGACTCAATCCTGGGTCTCCAGGATCATGAGCCAAAGGCAGATGCCTTAACCGCTGAGCCACCCATGCATCCTGGAACACCCTTTTCAAGATAATGAGAAGTAGCTGAAAGAGAGCATTTTGGAAGGAGTAAAGAATCTTTAAGATAGGAAATAAGGCCACATCACATGGGGTACTGAGTGGTCCTAGGGATAGACTCATTTCTTTGCAAATTTCTAGAAGATTTACTCTATATATCTGCCTCCAGCCACGCCACATGCACACATCCACAATTCTTTTCAGTTTTTGAATGTACTCTTTCCATCCTTTTCAATTTCCTTAAGACAATTTCAATATAACAATCCCTTAATTTCAATTCCAAGTTAAATCTCTCTGGCGCGCGTCTGCGCACACACATGTGCACGTGCACATACACACACACTCCACTACTCTGTCTCCTTAAGCATTAAAAGTGTCTCTGTTTTTCATCAGCTTTTCTCAAGGATCATGTTTCTTGGAGGCCCCAATGTGGAACTCCAAATAGAATGATATTTGTTTGCATGTAGTAGAGAAACATCTAATACTGAGACGGAATTCCTCAGAGAAGATTCCCACGGCTTCTCTTACTCCGTCCAGGGATTTGTGCGGGCAGGGTGTGTTCAGATGCGTGGCAGCATCTGCTCGGAATGCTGTCAATATCGATGGGCCCTGCTCTTGTTTACTCGTGGATGAAGCCTGCATGTCTGTAGCTTCAGAAGCAGATGCGCGTGTCTTATCGTAGAGCAGCTTGAACTGGCACGATTCTGGAAAGAAGTTCGCAGAAGTTAATTTGATATATATTTTAATCATTCGGTTCAGGTTAACCCTCATTTACTGACACCTTGTCACATGCCAGACGCTGCCAGGTAATGCGCCGCATACGGAGCGTCCCTCAAGCTGTGACTCCAAAGAGCAGCTCCGTTGGGGCAAGGGGTTGGCTGTCTTCACCCCCATCTAAACCTGGATTATCTCCCGGTGTGAGACCACCCCAATGAACATACAATCTAATATTTAAAAAGAAAATCAAGTTCTTGTTAAGAAAAGACAACTTTGAGATAATTCCCCCAGCTGC